ATGTATGTATGTATGTATGTATGTATGTATGTATGTATGTATGTATGTATGGATGGATGGATGGATGGATGCATGGACGAACAGACGAATGGAAAGTATTTGTTTCTCTTTTTTTATTTTCTGTTTGCTGATCTAACATTCTGTTCTCAACAGGTTTTACTTGCAAATAACACAATAATTCCGAATCTCAAAGGAACCTTTAAAAAGAATAAAAAGACAAACAACTGTTCTCTCTTAAACTTTACTTTGGTTAGGATAACTCTGACAAAGGCCAGAATAGTGACAATTGTTTTCAATTGGTTTTTAAATGTAATGGTTTAAATATAACCTACTCACACTAAATTGCTAGAATCTTGTCCCACTATTTCAATAAGAAAAAGAAAAAAACATTTAGCAAATAAACCAAAAAAAGCTAATTTAATAGTATTGGTGATTAGCTAGTTTTACCTGGTTTTCCATGAAAAGACAAACGACTACTTACGGTTCTGGGGAGTGATTAGGGGACGAAGCATGTCGGATGTACTGGGTACACTGGAACACACGAAATGCAAGACTTGCCAGAAAGTCTCTGGCTGAGAGCAGACCTGCCACCGGACGCAGCTGAAACCCTGTGCGTTCTGTCTCGGTCAAAACATTTTAACAAGTATCAGGAATGTGGAATCCCATAACAGGTGTGTGTCAGTTTCATTCCTTTCATAAAATACATTCAGATAATACCTTTAAGGAAGCATGACACGTCTTCCAACTGGGGAATGTTGTCTGGACTGTAGCCGCAGTGCTTCTCCAGCAGACGAAAGGCCTCAAGGTGTTCTTTGCAGGCGTGGGTGACATACAAATCCCTAAGGGTTGAATAGACTTGACGCCTGAATAAAGAAAGAACAGGATGAGCCTGAAGCTAAACCTTCACTGCGTTAAAAGTGAGGACTCTAGCTGAGTCACTTGTTGGTTGACATAAACAAACTGATACAGAATGGAATGTGACTTGTTTAGTCTCATATTTTCTTCACTATCTTTTATTAAAATTGCATTCTGATTAAACATTTTCACCAATAGTGGTGTCTATAGTGAAAAACTAAGGAAAACCACAGTCTTGCATGTGCCTCAATATTGATTAAATTCTTAAAAGCTTCTTCACAGCAGTCTAGCCCCACTCCCTTCACTGCCCCCTGCTGGCCAGCTTTTGTATTTTTACAAAGGACTTCATTAAAACATTGCATATATGACCTGTATCTTACTAGTCACTCAGACCTTTAGTAGGAGACCCTCATATGTCACAATAAAAATAAATATTGCAAAGATGAAATTACTACAAATGGTATTTTTTTCAAGTATTACCTTTACATAAGGAGGATCAACCCGTGTTAGAATTAACATGCATTACTAGATACATTTTAACTTTTTCTTAAATTCTGTTAGTGGGCAGTTCTTATTTTACTTTAACAGCAAACTGCTTCACTGTATTATAATACATTTGAGATACAGTTTATAGTAATAAAGACAAAGTTTGCTTCATTTGTGTGCAAGATTGTATGTAATTAATTATCATTAATATCATTCTAGCTCTTATGTGTGTTTCTCAGTGAGGAAAGAAATTGAGTATACTAGATACAAATATTAATGCTTTCATTCATGGAGGATCACTCATAGTTGTTTTTCTAATACAATGGGTCCAAAAAATTATGTTAATTTAATTATTTGTCCTTTTGTATTTCCACATACATAAATGTCTATGTATGTGTTTATGTGGTGTTAAAGACTAGCAACTTTTACAGGTGTATGCCTCATCTCTTAACTAACAGTTGTTTTTAGCAGCTATTATACCCTTAGGTCAGGAACAGAGTGCAGAGTTTTATCCCAAGTTTGAGTGAACGTATTAAAATCTGTTGTACCCATTTTAAAAAATGGATTGTAATGAATGGAAGATAATTAATAAGACACATAAAAAACTCTGCACAATTATGATCCCATGAGCATTCCCCCCCCCCCCCCCAAAAAAAAAAAAACAGCGCAAGGAATAAGTGTACCTTATTTTTATTTCTACTTGACTGTTTTTAAATAAATATAAATAAATTAATTAATTAAATATAAATATATAAATATAATTAATTAAATGTATGTACAAAAGCAGAAAGTATTGTCACAAAAACTACTTTATCTTATTCTAACATACTAAATATACAAGACAATATAAGTATTAGTTTCTTAACATATTGTGAATAACAGCTAGATCTAAAACATGTATTTTGGTTCAATGTGTTACTTCACAATTATGCTACTTATTCAGTTCTATATTTTGGCCTACATGTAACTGCATATTTTCTTTCTGTCTGATTACATTATAATTAAATCTCAAATTAGATGTTATGATTACTTACTTAGTTCTTGAGTAGCCTTTACCTACTTTAACGCTCGAGTCATTTTGGAAGTTCAGAAGGAAGGAAGGAAGGAAGGAAGGAAGGAAGGAAGGAAGGAAGGAAGGAAGGAAGGAAGGAAGGAAGGAAGGAAGGTCCTTAATTTCACCATCCTTAGAACATACGATTCTATGAACTTAAAACACTGATTCAAAGCAAAGTCCAGGTTTGATCAGTTTAGTTAATTTGTTGTGCTTTTTTCCATTTTTCTAATACTGATGTGGCCCTAATCTAAAAAGGCATCAACAGGGCTCCATTTAATGTGTTATAAATAACAGAAAGATTAAAAAAATATTTTTTAAAAACATATCTTGAAGAAATTTGTATTTCATTCAGAACAAGGCAGTTGAAAATATGTTACCCTAATGAGAAAAAAAATATCAAATGTAGTTTGCAAAAAAATACAGAAATAGTACTTTTTTGCATTGGACCCTAGACCATGAATCAGACACTAACCATCAGCCACTTGCAGGTCCAGCTAAATTTTCCTACAGTGCTTACACTGTCTATGCTATATACCATAGTAAAGGACGGCTCACCTCTCCAATTACCTGGACACCAAAAGCATATTTAGAATAGCAGTTTGTGTGGTATTTAGCTCTTGGGTCCTTTAGATATCATGCAAAAGGACATACTGTAGATCTCAAACACAAGCTAGATTTTTAAAAACAAAAAATCATGATTTGATTATTTAAAGAAGGCTGTTTTTTTTTTTTTTTTTTTGCAGTCTGAATACAAGAAAATGTTATTTTTGATTCTGATTTCTTGTTTCAACCACCTTTATTTAGCTAGCTCTTACCATGTGCCAATCTCCTCCTCTGTGTACTCCACTCTGGGAATTGGTTGCCCACTGCAGACACAGATAAATAAGCACTTGTTAGAAAATCCGAAGGTGTTTATGCTTATTTTCACATTTGTCTACAAAGTTTTAAGGTACACTGCTGGGTCTCACTGTTTATATGTGAAAGCAATATCCCCAATCAGTTTTCTTCTCTGCCTGTAGATGGGGTCTCTGTAGCCCTTGACAAATCAAATATACAAAAAGCACTGGTCAGATAGTCTGTTATGACATAATGGTACAAAGCATAAGAGCATGTGAGCTGTATTCCTGCTCTGCCTTGCTTCTGGCAAATGCATTACTTACAGGATGGTCTTCGTCTAGGTCTGGATCAAATTTTGTGACCAAATGATGACATCTGTCCAGATCTCCAATTTTCTTTGGGAACCAGTGAACTATTAAATAAAGGAGTCATAGGAAGAAAATAGAAATGCAATAGAGTATTTTTTTCATTTGATTCTGATTTTGCTGATTTTTATTAATATTACGGTAATTCTGAGGTAAAATATTTATACTTACATTTGACTTCTTTGGTGGTTTTGACATCCTCTGCGTTTCTCTTAATAGAGCTGACCAGAGTGCTGACATCAGAGAGGTGCAGCTCACAGCGAACAAAATACTCCAGGTCCCCAAGGTTTTCCCTGAACCTTCTGGATGGTCGAGTCTCCAAGTGGTGAATCTTTGCTTCAAATGTCTAAAATAAAGTAAGTATACTGTTATAAAGTGTGGAATAAACATAATTATTCTACAATTCCCATGAGATAATAAAAAAACTTAGACCTTTACTTGTTTTCAAATCTAAATATATAGTTTTCCTTAGCAAAACAACAACAACAACAACAACAAC